AGAAGTCGCGACCAAGCAAGCTGCGTCAAAGAAAGCAGCCCAACTACAAGTACTTCTCACCCATCGTGATGCTGCAACGACCACGATTCGTCTAGACGGACCGGCGTCATGTTCGCACTCAAGTCGCTCTCCTCATATCTCTTCGGTCAAGGCGAAAAATCCAACATCAGCGAGATCCCGCAAGGACAGCTTTACATCGTCCGTCCACGCTCGCCCAAAGGCTTCAGCGAGCTCATCTTCAAGGACGCCGCCGCATTCATCCGACGAGCAGGCCACGAATTCCAGTACCAGCTTGTGATTCAACGCGCATACGAAGAGGGAGAGGCAGAGCTACTGGAAGAAGAGGAAGGTGCCGAAGGGGAAGGAGTGCTGGGAGATAAGGACGAGAAGACCTTCCTGCTTGACGAAGACATCCGTTTCCGCGTCGACCTGAAGCACGACGGTCAGATTGTGCTTGCGTGGAAGGATCTGAGCGGCGACGAAGGCGATCTCTACGAATTTGTCTGCGACGAGAGCGTTCGACCAGAGACTGCCAAGACATTCGAGGCGGTCGCAGCGCAGTGCCAGTTCGAGAGAAAGTATCGCCGATCCCACCAGTACGCAACCGAGGAGAATCTGAGAGAATTCGACTTTGAAGACGACGAGGACATTCCGACTGCGAGCCCCACCGCGACTTCAGAACAAGGCGTGAGCCCGATTGCGAGAAGCTTGGTCGATCTGAAAGAAGGAAGCGCCACCAGCAGCCCGACCATGGCACGTATATCGGCTAAGCGCGAGACACCGGCCACGCCTTCAAAGGCCGTCGCAAAGACACCCACCAAAGCCCCGGCTCCGAGAGAGGTGCCAGCGAGCAGAGAGACACTTGCCGAGGCCGACGCAGAGCTGCACCTGTTCGACTTCACCTCCGGCACCTTCATCCTGCAAGATGCACACGCGCAGGCCATAGTCACCGACACTGGCAACTGGGCATACTGGCTGCAGATCACCGGCGAGAAGCAGCAATGGCTGGGACAAGAGGTGACTCCGGACATCAACCCCGTCTTCAACTTTGAGTACCTGAGTTTCATTTTCAATCACTACACCGAAGACCGCTCAGCCTACTCCTGGCTATTGAAGTTCTCCGAGCGCGAAATCATGGAGACTTTCCAAGAAGGAATCATGCAAGCACTGTGGGAGCATCTGAATCAAACAAAGTGGCACAAGGCTGTCAAGGATGCTGAGCGTGATTATCTGCTCGATGCCTTCAACGACTTGGTGCTTGAAGATGCTCGCGACGATGAGCGTGAGCGTCAGGCGGCCGAGGAAGACGAAGAGGAAGAAGACTTTGAAGATGCTGTGGACCGCAAATCTGAACCCGACTATGATGAGGATGAAGACGAGGACGAGCTGGTCAATCTAGACAAGGACGGCAAGGTAAATAGCCAACTTGCCGTTGGTGCTTCAGTCGACAGGTCCTTCGTGGTCCGTGGAGACAAGATTGGCGTCTTCAAGCACACCGACGACAATCAGCTTCAGTTCAGCACGAGCATCAACAATGTCGCCACGCTCAAGGGCAAGAATTTCGCGCCTAGCAAGGTCATGCTTCACGCTCGCGATCGCAACATGGTGCTGCAAAATCCAAACGATCCCAATAGCGTTTATCGCATGGATCTCGAGACTGGCAAAGTGGTCGACGAGTGGAAGGTGCATGATGACATCCCAATCAATGTCTTCGCACCCGAGAACAAGTTTGCTCAAACGACTGACGAGCAGACCTTCCTCGGTCTATCCAAGAACGCACTCTACCGTGTCGATCCGCGTCTGGCTGGCAACAAGCTCGTTGACAGCGAGCTGAAGCAATACGTCAGCAAGAATGACTTCTCTGCGGCTGCCACGACCGAGAAAGGCTACATTGCCGTTGCTTCCAACAAGGGTGACATCCGCATGTTCGACCGCTTGGGTATCAATGCAAAGACCGCTCTGCCAGCACTTGGCGATCCTATCATCGGCCTTGATGTCTCTGCCGATGGACGATGGGTTCTGGCCACTACACGCACATACCTTCTGCTCATCGACGCGCTCCAGAAAGACGGCAAGAATGAAGGCAAGCTCGGTTTCGAGAAGGCATTCGCCAAAGACAGCAAGCCGCAACCTCGTCGTCTCGGTTTGACGCCCTCACATGTTGCGCAATTCCAGCACGAGACTGGTGCGGCATTATCCTTCACTCCCGCTCGCTTCAATACTGGTGAGGGCTCCGATGAGACTACTATCATTACTGCAACAGGCCCATTCATTGTTACTTGGTCACTTGAGAAGGTCGTAGCTGGTCGCAAGGACCCATACAAGATTAAGCGTTACCAGGAGGAAGTAAAGGCCGATAACTTCCGATACAACTCCGACAAGAACATCGTTGTTGCTCTGCCGAACGAGGTTGACATGGTTGCGAGACGAGCTTTGCAGAGACCGACGCGCGAGAGCATCATGGCCACGCCACGTCGAAGCAAGGGTAGGGGATCTTACCTCAGTAGGAATGAGATAGTGAACTCACCTTACTGAGTTCGCGAGGCGAATCAGTCTGGAGTTGCTAGTTCTCTGATGGATGCATGACTATACGGCCTAGGAGCAGGACCCGCGGCGCTATAGGAGCGCATTTGCTTGACCTGTTCCCTTACGGGAGAGGACTTTACGATCGATCGCTGGTGCAATAGACGACTTTACGAACCAGACTTGAAGTATTAGTAGTATAAAGCTTCGACCTTTCCAAACGGCTCGCTTCAATAATGAAAGAAGCGCGTATATTATCCATCAAAGCTTGCATTTTCCGTCTCACCCATGATGTCTTCACGTTCAAGATCGACCCTTTACACTACTACAAAAGAGGCCATGATAACGAGAAGTATATATCTTTCATATGGTAAATATATATGTTTCAAATAGTAAATAGATATCTTTTAGATAGCAAATAGATATCTTTCGGATAGTAAGTAGATATCCTTCGGATAGTAAATAGATATTTTTCGGATAGTAAATACGTTCTCCTAGATAGTAAGTAGATGTCTTTTAAAAAATAGTAAATACCTATCTTCTAGGGTCGTTGCAGACTTCCAGTCCGAGATCAGGGCCGCTTGCTTCACTGATCATGAAGAGATGCTATGAGAAAGAAGATGAAAGGCAGCGTCGTGGCCACGTTCCGTGGCGAAAGAGCAAATTGATATGAATTTGAGCGGGTACATGCGGCACAGGAAAACCGAGTGAATGAAGCAGTGGTGATGATCATATGGATGCGCTTCGGTGGCGTAATAAATTGTTTTGAGTGTGAAGAATGAGCCACCTCCCTCCCAGGCAAGGATGTCTGAAGAGGTATCCAGCACGCAGCTCGTGGTGAAGTGCCGGGAGCTTATATGGCACTGACAAAGCTTTCGAGACAGCAAAGGTACGGCTTACCGTTCGATGGAATTAACCCTGCGAATCAGCAGACTGGCGAGCGCCAGAGCACGAACCATGAAGCATGAATCATGCAGAAAGGGAACGGACAGCTCATCCTCGTGCGAGGACGTCAGAAGGTCTGTTCAGAGATGCTTGCATTGGTCTATGGTACGACGTGCGCAAAGGCATCTCTCAGCTACCACGCTGAAGAGGTTATGGTATCATCCCACGCCGCCAATCGAAGGGCAGGCTCCCATGACGCCAAACTCTTTCATGACTTTTACCCAGTCATCTCTTTGCAAAACGCCGGTCATGCAAGCATCTCATTGAGAATGCGTAGCTTCGCGCGTTTATGCAACGAGCTGAACAACACCACCGGCCTCCTTGATCTTGCGCTCGGCGTCCTTGGAGAAGTAGCGGGCGCGGACGATAATTGGGATCTCGGGGATGCGGCCCTTACCGAGGACCTTGCTGTAGCCGAGTGGGAGGAGGTCGAGGACTGGAGCGGTGTCCTTGCTGCCGCCAGCAAGGTACTTCTCGCGCTGCTCTTGGGGGACGAGCGACCAGAGCTAGAACTTCCATCAGAATTGCAAACAGTCACCTTCAACATTTCGGTGCTCACCTTGTCGAGGTTGATGACTGGCTTCCAGAACTGGTTCTGGAGCTTGTGGAAGTATCTCATACCAACCTTTCCGAAGTAACCTGGGTGGTACTTGTCCATGTTGGTTCGGTGGTGGTGCTGGCCACCGGCAAGACCACGACCACCGGGGTGCTTTCGGTGCTTGCCAACTCGACCGTGACCGGCAGAGACATGACCGCGGCTGTAGAGATGCCATGTCAGTGATTTGTCGCGGCCGAGGAAGACCAATGCGGCGCAAAGTGGAAGTCGTGCTGGTCGACCAGGATTGCGCACACGGTAATAGAGAGCACTCACTGCTTGCGGGTCTTGGTGAGTCTGGTAGGCATTGCGGCGGTGTTGTCTGTGGCAATGCAGGTGTTGTCCCTGATGATGATCCAGAAAAGAGTTGTTCGAAGCTGGGCGCAGGCGCAGATTTGACGTTGCGTGCGCTGGAAAGTGCGCCTTCCCCGATTCGTGATGGCGGGTCTTGGCACGAATTCCACCTGACGGGAGACCTCTGGACTCTGGAGTTGCTCTTGTAAACCTTGCCCACCACGACTATAAACGCATGACTGACGAGGAGCTCGCCGTCAAAGATCTTTGACGCGCGCGACCCTGACTGGCCGTTGGTTGGTCTTCAAGGCACCTATGGATTTGTGCCATCGAACTACATTATCCTACAGCCACGCGAGAACACGGCGCCTAAATCGAATGCGAACAGTAACGAATGATGCAGCTCGCTCAAACGTCGACGCGGCAGGCAGCAAAGATTCGCAGAAGTTTTTTTGAAGCGATTGTCTACGCATACAGCGGCTGCAGCTTGCCGCATACTCTTTCGAGCACTCTCTGCGGCAGCTGAGACTCGTACGCCATCCTGCACCACTCAGACACGACCTGTCTCGTCTTGGCCGGATCAATGATCTCCTCTATGCTAAAGTGGTTTGCAGTTCGAACGGGGTTCATCAGCCGCCTGTACATTGTTTGCAGCTCCAGATATCTTGCCTTCCTTGCCTCTACTCCCTTCTCCTTCTCAATCTGTCGGAGCTCGTGGGAATGCCCAACTTCTATACCTCCGTCCAGTGGGAGGCTGCCCCATTCGCCTGACGGCCATGCCACACGCATGTTTGGATCTCGGCAATCGACCATTACGCCACCGGCTACGCCATACGTCTTCCTGATGATGATGCTGAACAATGGCACAGTCGTCGTGTAGTATGCTTTCGTAAGCTCAACGCCCCATCTCATGGTCGCTGTTCGCTCCGCAACCGTACCCACAGCATAGCCCGGAACATCGACGAATTGCAGGATCGGCAGATTGAAGACATCGCAAAACTTCAGATGCCGTGCGAGCTTCTGGCTGCCAGCAGCATCGATAGCTCCAGTTGAGATCTCTGCATTGTTCGAAAGGATGCCGACAGGCCTGCCTCCTAGCCGTGCCAGACCAATAATTGATGTTCGGCCCCAAAGCGCTCCGATCTCGAAGAAGGAGTCTTTGTCGACGACCGTTCTGATGACCGTCCTTGGATTATACATTCGCTCCCTCTTTCTCGGTATGATGGATCTCAATGCAATGTCTTCCCGCTCCACTGGATCTTCGCAAACAACAACAGGCGGCACATCCGTTCCACAGTTCGGTAGATATCCAAGGACTTGCCGGATCTGCCGAAAACATTCCTCCTCATCCTCGGCCAAATTATCGATCGTTCCATTCGTACAATGCATCGCCGGTCCTCCCAGATCTGTAAAGCTCAAGCCCTCTTCAAAGGTAGCATTCTTCACGACTTGCGGCCCGGCATTGAACAGACTTCCTACATTCGCAGCCATGACTGAAAAATGGCAGGACACTACTCTCGCAGCTCCAAGACCAATTGCAGGTCCACACACCGCTCCCAGATTCGGAATGCCCATATTCAGTTGCTTCGTCACGATGTCAAAGCCTTGCATCGGTGGCACATAAGAGAATCCAGTTTTCTCAATTGTGCTCACTGAACCACCTCCGGAAGAACCATCAGTCAGCTTAATCATAGGTATCTTCATCTGCAAGGCCAACTTCTCAGTGTACAGTGTCTTAGCCATCAGATTTCCATCTTGGTGACCAGCTCTGATGGTGAAGTCGTCAGCAGTGAAGACAATTTGTCGACCATTCAAACATCCGTAGCCTTGAACATTGTTGTGCGGGAGAAAGGATTCGACCTCTTCTCTCTCTCCGCCTAGCTGCTTCCAAATTACGTGGCCCGTCGCCCCACCAATTTCCTGGAACGAGTCTTTGTCGAGAAGCTTTTGGATCCTTTCGCGAACCCACAGCTTCCCATCTTGTTTCTGTCGAACGTAACCTCGACGTGAATGGTCTGGAGTGTCGGCAATTTCTTTCAACTTCTGCAACTGAGCTAAGATGTCGCTGTAGTCAGCTGGGAGTCCGTCACCCTTTTCCTGCTTCCGCCTTCTGCGGCCTGTGTTGGATTTCTGTGCTTGCTTATTCTGTTGGCTCCCTTCGAGATGTCCCGAAAGCTGGGAAGCTCGTTCGGCTGCTTTTTGTGATTGCTCCTTGCCTTTTGAATCTGCCATGTTTACCTGGATGTCCAAGAGTACCCGGAATGGATGCAGCGGTTACATCTTGTTTCTGACTCGTCGGCAATGATAGGCATGGTGGCCCTCATCTTGAGGTGGTGCTTGCCGAGGCAAGGTTGCTTTGGTAAGCGCCAAGACAATTGGAGGAGTTGCGCTCCGTCCGACCTCACTTCTGCATGTCTTGCAACAATTATCAATTTTCGAGCCGTTTACTGTCGACTCAATGCAGCATATAGTGACGATGTCCCGTCGCGCGCTGAAACGAATGGTCTAATCAACCAGGGTATTGAAAATGGCGCCGAAACAGAAGAAAATGGCAAGACTGGCAGTCGATGGGTCGAAAGCTGGCTCATACAGTTGCCCGAATTGCCGCTTGACGATCCCTCCACCCGCAGCACTTTTATGGTCAGTCCTAGAGACTTCATGAAGCCTACCACAGGCTCAGTTCAGGAGCCATGTGATGTCCATCCGCGGGACGCGGCTCGACAATGCGCTTGATCCACAGCTCGCCGATGGATATGGCCGCCTTGTCCTCGCCTTGCTCATTCTGATCCTGCATCCCTCACTATGGTTTTGCCATGATCGCATCCACAATTCTCTCCCCAGTCAAGCCTTCCGCGCCTCCCTGCCTGTTGACCTCCTCGACATGATCAAAGATCTTTGACTTCCATTCCCGCTTCAAGTGTGGAGGAATGCGGATCTCCAGTCTCTCGTGACTAACGCTGTCATGATCGTGCAGCGTGAACTTGAATAGGTTCATGTAATCCATTTCCCTCTCAACAGCCATGACGCTGAAATGGCGCAACCACTGCCCACCTCGCGAAGTGGCCTCCTTCGATCAGAACCATGTCACCCTGTTGCTTTCCATGATTGTAAGTACAGTCGACATCGCTGGCTTCTCAGATGGCTGGGAAGCTGGCCGTCGCACTTGCTGAGTGGTGGCAACTCAGAATCTAAGTCTGTGAAGCGGAGAGGAGTATAGACGCGTTGAGCTAGACCTCCGGACATCATTTTGTGGCGAGATGTGCCATCGGGGCCTACAATGTGTGGTTGGATGAAGTAGCGAAGAATTGATATTGTGCGCCAAGGCAGTCACATGCATTCGGTTCAACGCGTTAGAACTTCTTCTATTACCTCCCTGGATTCATGTCAATCCTCAAAATCTCCGGATGTCTATGCGTGCCGGGCATCAGTATTCCCAAGCCTACCGCCCTTCTGATCGCCTTGGCCATCTTTCTCTGATTCACCGGCCTCAAATTGGTATCATTGCTATGCCTAATCCTGCCCATCTCGGTCATATACTCGCTCATGATGGAGAAATTCTTATAGTGATGCAGCGGGTTCAGTCCTAATCGATCAATGACATCGTAGCGCGGTTTCGGCTTCCGTCGCAGCTTCTTCCACTTTGCCATTTCGACACCTGTCAGATCGTGCGGCGCGTATACATCGCCGGCTTTCCAGCGACGGTGAGAGGCTTGCCGTTCGAGGTCTTGGCGGTTCCAGCCGCGTTCTTGGTCGAGGAGCATTTGCCGCTGCGCAGCTTCCTTGCGGGCTTGAGTCGCAGTCTTGACGGCGTCTTGCATCATGCTCCAGCCGGCGGTCGATGTCGGGGAAGGAGTATTAAGGAAGGCGGTCGATGGCGATGCGCTGGCTCGGAGCGGGGCTTGAGGGGAGGAGAGCGAGGCTGGTGTGGGTGTTGGTGCGGCAGTGTGAGCCTGGGCTTGCGTCTGATTGCGGTTGCTTTGCAGGAGATCTGGGCTGATCAGTACGCGCCGGCACGGCTTTGCTATGTTTCCATGGCAGAGGCAGCGGAATTACCAGCGAAGGCTGCAGTCGCGCTTTGGCGTCGATTCTGCGGTTGCTGTTGCTGTTGCGGTTGCGAGCTCGTCGCCAGACTTCGACGGCATTGGCGACATACCGACGACGGCCTGATGGAAAGTCGTGTGAATGCGTGTTCGAGCGACATGATTGCTGTGTGCCGATGGTCTCGTACGCACGCGCGACATGAGGCATGATGATGTGAAGCCGCCAGACGTCGATCCTCTGCGGCGACGCGGCAATGCCAAGACATTTCATGCATGCAGTTCCACGGAGGAGATTATACATCGACAGAGAGGACTCAGGACTGTTTGTGATGTGAAAGGATGCGGACTACAGACGGACTACATTGATCAACAACCGCAACAATGCCCTCCCACCTAAGCCGCCACATTTGCCGGCGAATACTTGCCAACGAGCCCATTCTACACAGAGATTGCCTGAGACGACAGGCACACGCATACAGCACGACCAGACCAGCGACACACAATCATTTCGTGCCTCCGCTACGACACAATGCCTCGCGCAACATCGCTCGTCAGCAGCATCGAAGCTTCCTCAAGTTGGGCATGTTTGGCGCCAAAACGAGCACCGCGAAGGAAGCAGATATCGACCCCGGCATAGAAGACATGATGCAGCTTGCAAAGCTGCAAAGAATGCGAGCTCGACTTCCACCGCCACACGATATTAAAGACGCTTTAAGCGTCTTTTTCAAACACAAAGAGAAGCAGAAGACTCAAGCTATGAGCGACACCCAGGCAGAACTGGTCCTGCGAGCCCTGCGCTTCTTGTCCGAATCATCTACAACTGGAACTGACGGCGGTCCGACTGGCCCCAAGTATTTGGACCAGAAGTCTATGGAACGCGTGGCCACAGTATTAAGCAGGAGCGAGAGAACGCCGTCGTTGGCTCACTTGGACTTCGTGAAGTATCTCATTGCTACTCTCACCCCTCAACAGTCAACGCCCGTTTACCGTGCCATCCAGTGCACGTATGTCAGTATGCTTGCGCATTCGGGACGGGCCATTGAAGCGAGGCAGGTGACGATGGATATAGAGGGCAATCGCTTCGGTCTCGAGGTTGAAGGGCCTGTTGCTTCGGATAGCGGAAAACGTGATCGGGCCACGACAAACGAGATGAGTGAAGGCCCAATCCAACGCATGTGGATCCAAGTCTTGATCGGATTCGTGATTGAAAATGACGAGCCCCGGGCACACGAGACACTTCGCATGGTGCGAGAGCGTTCTTGGTTCAACCAGCAAGAAGTCCCGATTGCCTCAGTCATGCTGCGCCTTTCGATACATCGAAATCGGCTAGTCGATATTAAATCGTGGTTTGCAGAGCTCTGGCGCAGCTTCCAGTCGAAAAGCCTCGACCGCAGTACGGCCGAATCCGTGGGCATAGATCTACATCGCGTGCTTCAATGGTGTCTGGAGCATAAAGAATTTGAGTTCGGGCACCAAGCTGTGCGACAAGCGACGACTGGCATTCCCCCGAAAAGTGTCTGGGATGCTATCTTCGTCTGGGCTGCTGGGACTGGAAAAGGGGCAGACGAGATTGGTCGCATGTTTGGTGTCATGGAAAAGATGAATGGGGAAATCTCTGACCCGGAGCAGTGGAGAGTGCCTGATATTTTCACAATCAACAAGCTAGTCGAATACGCCACCTCTAAGTCCGATCCATATCTGGCCGAACGCTTCATTGGTTTGGGCCAATCGAAAGGAATAGAGCCTGACGCGTACACGTATCAACTTCAAATGGAATATCGACTGAAGATCAATGATGTGGACGGCGCCCTGATCGCCTACAAGAATCTTCAATCAATGGACACCTCTTCCGATCAAGACCTGCCTACGGTCAATAGACTCATCGTGGCGTTATGCAGAGGAAAGCGGCACAGCTTTGACACCATCATGAATGTTGCCATGGACCTGTCAGACAGACGAGCACGGTTCGAGGCAGAAACTGTCTCGACCCTAGCTCTATTGCATCTCAACCGCGACGAAATACACGATGTTGTGGACCTGCTCAATACCCATGCGTACCACTATTCTGCAGCTGATCGAGACAGAGTCAGAGATGCCATCCTTGCTTTCTGTTTGGACTCAAACACGCCGACCTCACGCTCGTGGGATGCTTATTCGGTGATATGTAAGATTTTCGAAGATACGCCCCGAGAGCCACGCACAGACATTATGAAGAACTTCTTTGACCGAGAGCGACCGGACATGGCAGTCAATGTCTTCCAAGAGATGCGGAAACACACTCGCGCTGATACCATGCCTACTGTGGACACTTACGTGGCCGCCTTCCTAGGATCTGCAAAGCTCCGGGATCTTGAGAGCCTGGAGGTCATTCACAATCAGCTCAAGCTGGACTTTAACATCGACGTCAACACCTATCTCACCAACGCACTTATAATTGCGTATACTGCGTGTGGGCAGCCGCGAAAGGCGATCAACTTCTGGAGCGATATTGTATCCAGCAAAGAAGGACCGACGTTCAATAGCATTCACGTTGTGCTACGAGCCTGCGAGAAGGCTCCTTTCGGGGACCTGAAAGCGAAGGAATTATGGGAGAGATTACGGAAGATGAATGTGGATCTTGATCAGAGTATGTGGGCTTCATACGCAGCAGCTTTAGCCGGCAATGGCGACAACGAGCTTGCCTTTAAGACCATCGAGGAAGCTGAGGCCAACAACGAGCTCGAGGTCGATGGATTTCTAGTGGGAAGTTTGTATGATGGCGGACAAAGCCATTTGAAGCAAGCTGAGATTGAGGAGTGGGCGAAGGATAAATATCCTGCTGTCTGGGAACAACTGGAGAAGATCGGCTACGAAGTCGACGCGGAAAGTGGTCGGAAGAGGTTCAAAATCGACCGGACTGTGACGCCCTGAGGGCACTTGCATGTGAGGAGGCGCGGCCGGCGACAGCAGGGATGACGTTTGTATCCTTCGTCCTTTCCATTAGTCGGTGCACAATAAGTCGCAAACCACCGGCGCCTGCACCCAGGACGATAGCAACTCCAGGCACCAAGGTTGCTGCAATGATCAACCTCGATCGCCCATCGCCCATCGCGCGAACGCCCTAAAATCGAAGCAAACTTTGAAAGCGCCGCTGGTCGGAACGAAATCAGGCTCGCCTCGCAGGTTTGCGGAAGCGACCGACACGACATGCGCTCGAGCTCCAATGCGTGATCTTCCGTCTGGCCCTTCTACAATAATTGATGGCGTAGCCAACCCACTTGCGACTTTGCCTGACAAAAGTCGTTTGGACATACAGCGTGGCGACGCAATGTCACTGACCGACGGTTACAATGCTACAATCCTCGGTGCTGCTGCGGCGAGGACGTTCAACGTGCCAGAACTGCTCGAGCTGATACTTCTCCATTTGCCGGCACTCGACCTCCTTCTCGCCCAGCGTGTTAGCACGCAATTCCGAGACACCATACTGAGCTCCAAGCAAATTAGACAAGCGCTCTTCTTAGAATCCGAGTCAAGCCCGCGAGACCACAACGAGCAGGTGCGGCGATTGAACCCACTGATCGAAAGCATGTTTCAGCCCGAGGACATCAAAGGGTGGATGGACCGGCGCATCTATCCGTGGTTTGGGAAGCTCTATAGTCAGGACGCCGACTATCAACGGCTGGAGGCGATAATGCTATACGGGGACGAATCATGGCGAGACTGGATGCAAAGGAAAGGGTATCTATATCATCGCGCGCCCAGGAAACACACACGACCATTCGTCGCAACCAATGTCTGCTTGCCTGTCGTTCGGACTCACAGTACCAGCTCAGCATTAGCATACGCAAACGCGTCTTGGCGTAGAATGTATGCTTCGTATCCACCTGCGAGTGTCAATGTCTGTGACGTCAGTTCACCTCATCACCTCGGGATCGTGCCATCGATGCCTATGGGTGAGATCATGGATCGTTTGCGGGAGCCGGACTCAGAGTCTGGGTACTGGGCGTGGAGGGAAGGGCTGGAGAAGACAGTGCTTATCGAAGAGGAGAACCTGTGAATACGACGATTGGCGTGGCGAGATGCGGACCATTTGCTTCAAGCATGCATTCAATTGCACCGCCTTTGGTTCGCACAAGAATCTGAGTGTGACTATCCCATCTCTAATGTCCATTGGCTCCATTCCCATTGCAACATCTATTCCCATGAACCTGCTCCCCATTTCTGATAGCAAGCTCGCTCGCCAAATTCCTGTTCGATGATGGCACATCGATACTCGGATTAGCCTCAAAAAAGTCGGCGGATCTAAGATTAATCTGATGAATTTCCACCGGCATCACAGGCCAGTCCTCAACTCTTGGATTATGCGTCAACGAGTCTCGATGTCGATGCCGCCGGACTGGTTGAACGTGTATGCAAAGATGTATTCGTAGTTGGCGAGAGTGATTGCAGAGAAAGCTGGTGCAGTGGATGCGGCGGCATTGGACGATGGAGGGAGAAGGGAGATAGATCGTCGGCACGCGAGGAGCGCGCGGCTTGGCCTGATTGATGATGATGGCGGGGCGGAGATGTTTCCGCGGACCACGCCGTCACCACGCATGGCGACATGCCCTGGGAGCCCGCAGCGCCCATCCATGGTGAAGCCGGGCGAGACGGAGGAGCGGAGGGAAGGCTTCAATACTGTGTGGTCTCTGGGAGCGTGGTTGGTCTGGCTCATGGCTCGCTCCATGGGACGCGCTGGCCACGCTCGTCGCCTCGGCATTGACCATTGCGGGACCGCCGTGTCTGTTCTTCAGCGAGTGCGTGCGGCACCATCCTCTCCGACGCGTGCCATCCATCATTGGTGCTGATATGATCGATCGGTAGCCTCATTTCCTTCGCCGGCACGCGGGAAGGTATTTCAGTATGGGGAGGTGGGGTGAGTCGTGCCGGTGTCTGTCTACCGAAAAAGAAATGATACGTGCCGACATTCCCGGGCTCTACCGTCAATGTGATAGCCTTGATCTGGGGCGCAGTTGCAATGCTATTCAGCATCTTCCCGAGCTACCAACCAGTCAGGGCCCAAAACATTCTACAGCGTATCAAACCCCGCCCATATAGAAAGCACTGGACAAAACAGAAGCATGAGCTATATCCACGAGACTAGATCAAATACCGCCTCACTTGTGCCCATTGATCCCCTTCGAATCATGCCTTACTTCTTCTCTCTTCGCCACCTTCATATCACCACCCTCCTGAGACTGCTGCGGTATATTCGCCATCCAAGCGGGCGGCGTCATGCCGGTCTGGTCTTGAATCGTGCTGAAGAGTGGAGGAATCGACTTGAAGAGATTCTGAATCGGTGCCATACTCTGATTCGCACCTTGGTCATTGCCGGTAGTCCAGACATTGATCTTAGGCTGCAGACCATGAATAGCTTTGGCATTGGCATCCGCGAGTCGTTCGTAGGTCCCATTCTGCAGCATGAGGAACTGCATCAGACCTTGAGGCCCGCCCATGACGTCCGCGAGAGCACCATAAGCCTTGCTGAGTTCGCTAAGACCGTCCGCCTCTTTCTTGCGCGCCATGTATGCTGCTTCGGCTTCACGAGCGCGAGTGAGGTACATGGCTTCGGCCTCCTTTTCCTTCTGTATGTACATGGCTTGAGCTTCACGTTCCTTCATGAGGTACATGGCTTGTGCCTCTTTCTCGCGAGCTGCGAGCATGGTGTCGGCGTCTTTGGTGCGCTTGTAATTCGCGGCATCGGTGTCCTGTGCCGAACGGTAGTAGATAGCTTCGGCTTCGGCCTTTTGGTTGTATTGCTGGGCATCGGCTTTCTTGGTCTGAGTGTAAAGATCTGCGTCGGCTTTCTCTTGTGCAGATTCTTTTGCGATCTTGGCCTGTGTCACTGTGGTGGCTCGAAGACGCTCCAGCTCCATCTCTGCACGCTTCTGCTCGACATCCTTTTGTAGTTCGGCATCGCGTTGTTCAGCAGCGCGCTGGGCCGCGATTTGCTCGATGTTCAGGGCTCGAGAGATCTCGATTTCTCGGCTTCGCAGCTTTTGATCTGCGTTGGCCTTTTCAACTTTACGCTCTGTCTCGAGCACGGCTGTATTGGCGTTGATCTTGGCGATGCGCTGTTTGGCTTCGCCCTCCTTCTCTGCTTCACCAACGCGACCAATCATGCGGGCATTGGCAACGTCGACTTGAGCTTGGCTTTGAGCGCCTTCGTGAGCTTTCCGAGCCAGAGACTCAAAGTACTTGCTGTCACCCATGTCCTGCAGCTCCTTGACGTTCGCATTATACACCTTCATACCGAATTGATCGAGCTCCTTCTGGACGCATTCGATGACCTGCTGCTTGAAGATTCGTCGATTGTTGAACCTATAAATCTAGAGAGTCAATTTTGATCCCTTCCATGGTCAGAGGAAGGGTGCTCCGCCAATTGGCGAGAAGGTCTGGACATACGCCTTTGTAACTCGGACATTTTTTGTGGGAGACCACTGACAGGAGGTCTATTGAATCCGAGACACTGGAGCTTTTGTCGAAAGACCGTCCTCGCCAACGTCGAGTACACCCCCTAAGATGAACTCACAATTCCTCCATTGTCATGTTTGAAACAATCGATCTCGTCTCGCCCTCGATGATTCCCTTGATGATGTCTTGCACGTGATTTCGGCCAGTAGCAACCATGCCGCCCTTGGTGTAGACCTGTCCGTCACTATCCCCAGTCAAAAGCACCGCATACTTTGTAAGAGAATCGAGATTGTCCTCGGGGCCAATGGTGAAGACTGCCGGAAGGGAGAATTGCAGTTTCTCGCTGGTCATGGCTTGCAGTGACATGCTGAAGTCAAATGGCGTGATACTGAGTTTCGTGACCTTCTGGAAAGGCATAATGAACTTCTTCTTCGCGATGACAACATTTTCGATGCCTGCGCCAGTCACGGCGAGATACGAATTAGGTTCGGAGACGTGATACCACATCGTTGCGGTATTGCCGTGTAGCAGTCAGCAGTGGGTGAGCGTTTGGGAAATTTCCGGGCGTATCGATGGGAGAAGCACGGAATGGATAATTTATGGACTCTGCCTTGCTCTTCAGTATGGCGGAAGGGAGTGACAAGAGAAATCAAAAGAACGGGGTCTTGTGAGAAGACAGCTTGTCTTATATGCCGCAGAGCGAATTCGAGAGCACGGCCTCGTGACCGCTTGCAACCTGTATACTTGTGAGTCTTAGAACTGTCCCAAAGGTCGCTTGCTGAGCCGCCCGTATTGCATGCACATGCATCTCTCGTGACCGGTGTGTGAAGTCAATGCCGCGGACTTTGCCCAGAGACAAAGACGGTATTCGGCATGACTGCAGAATAACAATGTCGAGTTACCTTTTGCTCATTCTATGTGCTTCCGTGTTAGGTGAATTGCATGCCGACCTATCCGGAGGGAGCTAGCGCAAGCTGTGCCACGGCTATGATGGACCTCGCTCCAAGGCAGCGCTGCCAGATAATTATTATTGACGTACCTGACAGTAGAAGCACACAAAGAAGATCCTAAGAACAACGCTATTAGTCGGGAGGTTGTGGCTACGACTGCAGGGCGTAGTGAGATTCTCGTTCGCGATCAATCAGAAACTGACGCAGTGGTATCCGCGGGCGGCCTCAAAGTCCGCAGCAAACTCAGCCCCGGGGATAGACAGGTTGCTGAGTAACTGGAGACGCAGACATCCTGAGGCATTCCACAGCCCCATAGTATCCGGGCACATGACCGCTGTTTGACATTTGCGAAGACTGTCTTACTTTGGTAGTGCCGCCACAGCCATACGGCCTCTAATTTTCCAAGAATATACCTCACCGGAGTCGTGAACGACTTGAAGCCGATTCCAACTGGCAGAGCTGCGTGTAAAGATGGATCCTCCGAGTTACGAGGAAGTCACTTCTAGCAACACAGGGCAAATAGCAACCTGGGACAGCGGCTCAAAAGCACCGCACGCGTTGAGTATTCGAGAAGAGATTGGCGCATCCAGATGGCAGCATGTAGCCGCTTTGGTCTCGAAATTGCTACCGCAGGTGAGAGAACGGGCAAGGCGAGGGCTGTCCAGGTTCTCACTGCTGATATTGCCCTCCGACCAAAGTGAGTTGCAGAATTTGGCATCGTCGCCCAGGATTGCTCACATTGCGTAGAGAGCGTCAGCAGCAAAGGCGAGCTCGTAGGCTTTGCCGAAGATGATCGACCAGTTCTTGTGCAGCTCGAGGGCGACTTCGACGATAGCCCGTTCTGGACGCAACAGGAAGCACTGGATTTGCTGCGGCAGCAAATGTATGCAGAGGTCGCTGGCGATGCAACAAGTTCAGCCGTGGAGGAAGCTCTACCCCAGCGAGCCGTGCCGCAGTCGAAGTCATCGTGGTTTGGAGGACGAAAGCAGATCAAGGCAGCAGCCACGAAGGTGACCGTGGCGCCCAAATGCCTGGTTCGGGTCGAAGTTGAGCTGGAGACGGTGAACTTTCGCACTGTGACTGAGTATGGCTTATGCGAGACCATGCGAGGGCGTGGAGTGCTTTTGACCGTGCATGTCGCATGAACGGCAGCGTTGCGAGCGGCACGTAGTTGAGATAGAGGGCGTCGGATGAGGGTGGGCTTTTCAGTCCGCAGACTTGTCAGCCTCTGCTTCTGCCGCCTTCTTCTCGCCTTCCGCATCGAAGCCCAGCTTGTCGAGCTGTCGGATGAGCTCATTGATCTTGATCACTTTCTCGACCTGTTCCGGCAGCAAATTGTCGCCCTTTTCCTTCTTATCTTTAAGCTCGCGCGCCTGTCGAAGCTTCTTGGCCAGCTTGCGGGCTTCCTTAGCAGCCTGCTCGTCAGCATCGAGGGCCTCAGCTTTGGCATCGGCAACCTTGGGCTCGCCGTTGGCCGACTGCGCGCCACCAGCAGCATTGCCTTCAGCATCCCGCCTCCCCTCTGCCTCAGCAGCTGCGGCCTTCTTCCTGGCCTCCTTGCGCTTCAGATTCTTTGCGGCGGCGGCCTTGTGCGGCGGCAGCTTCTCCTCTGTTGTATCTGCGCCAGGTACGCCGCTCTTGCCTCGATTCTTCCATGCCTCTGCGGTGCGATTCTTGTAGACCTCAACGTCTTCCGGGGGCCTGTAGCCAGGCTTCACCCGAATCTCTTTTCGGACTGAGCCATCGGCACGAGTTGAGGAAGGAATTACGGACTCGCCGTTGCTCAGCTTCCGGATGCCTGATTTGGAGATATGTCCCTCGGCGACGCTTGGCATTATGGTGACTGAAGGGGCTGCGACCGAGGTGGTGATGGAAATGGAGATGGTGAGCTCCTCAAGTTCCAAGGTGCAGCGGCAGTGGCATCTCAACTTCGAAGATTTGACTCGAGATCGAACCTCTGGCCACCGACCTCGCTTTGCGTCGTGATTGGCTGCGCGAAAGGCTTCCTTTGCCCTTCTCCCCCGAACACCTCATCTTCTGCCATTGGACGTCACAGCTTGCAAACACACGCAGTACCGGCCAGCCAGACCTCCTCCCTGATCTGACCCTTTCATATTCCTCTGAAGCGTCGCGAAGATGTCTGGAATCCTGAATGGACTGTACAACGGCCTGATCAAGAGGTAGGGACCGCGCCATGTCTCCGAAGAAGTCTTGTGCTCACTCCCGGTGTGCAGGAATACCATCTTCCTCACGACCATTTTCGCCGGCGCCTTCGTTACCAATATGTGAGTGGAAAGGTTGCATGGCGAGTGGAGGACGGACAGGGGCTGACGAGCATACAGCGCATTCGACACAGCTGCGAACGGAATCTGGGACCAAATAAACAAGGGCGTATGTGCAACAGCAGAGGCATGGGCAGGCAGTATGGCGCGCTAATCGGACTGCACAGCGACAATGGAAAGACATCAAGCACAAGTATATGGACTCGGGAGAGGCTGAGGAGGATGACGAATAGCGCACGCTCAGCGGCGTGGAGGGGACAGGGCGTGGCATGGGGCGAATAAAGGCAGCAAAGCATGTTACATTACGAATAGCGAGAGCATGTCGCGGAGGGACAACAGATCCCAGGCGCAAAAGCAGACTGGTCTTGAAGTAGGCAGGTCAGGCTGGATGGTGGGATGGGATGGGATGGACATGCTTCCACCACCATTACGTGTCCAGTGTCCGATTTGTAGACTGCCATCGCCATCGCCATCGCCATAGCCGTAGCATACACTCACCAGAAGCCTCCCATATCGATATTTCTGCGAGCTGCAGGAGCATGTATTGATCGGGTTGCACACATGTACCTGTATGTAGTTTCCAAATATCACGACGATACGTCATGAGTAGAGGTCGAAGTTGCCGCGCATATTGGAATACCGTCGACGTAGACGTAGGTATCTGATATCGCACAACGCTTCGGTCCACGCCACGCCCACCGAGACAAGGTGTCAAACGAGTGCGCACATAATCAGGAGCGAAATTCCAGATCGCAGAGCGCGATGGCATAAACACAGCGGGAACAAAGGCAAAGGCTGGACAGCGATTGCCCTTGCCCTCCATCCACCACCGAGCATCAGTACACATCAGCATCGACGTCGACATCCGCATCCGCATCCGCATCCGCATTAGGCGTCACCTGGAGAACGCAGAACCTCCCAGACCAGGCCAGGCCAGGCGCAAATCAACTGACGCCTGAAGCCACAACGCAGCGCCGCTCCCACCATCCCACCATCCCAGCGTACGATGCAGATGCAGATGCAGATGCAGTCGTTATCACCGCACGAGGCCAAGCTATGCAACAGTCTGCTCACCCACCCCGTCAACTCTTCCCACCGCTATACATCTGCCGCCGACTGCGAGCTTCGCCGCATCCTCTTCACATCGCTCGCCAACAACCGTGAAGACTACTTGGCCTTCTTCTTCCCAAACGGCACGCCGACTGATCGCTCAGAACCCTGGTCACTGAAACACGCGCAGGGTGCAATAGAAGGGGCCGAGTACACGGCGGCCGCGAGGGGCACAGCATGCGGGCACATCTTCAAGAATGGCGAAAGCACGTATCACTGCAAGACGTGTGCTGCAGACGACACGTGCGTGCTCTGTGCCAAGTGCTTTGACAGCAGTGACCACCAGGGCCACATGGTTCTCATCTCCGTCTCGCCTGGGAACAGTGGATGCTGTGACTGCGGAGACCACGAGGCCTGGAGGAAAGATGTAAAGTGCTCAATACACTCGGCAGGTCCGGGCGAAGAAGCGCAGACGGCTGGCAAGAGCGCCGCGAAGGACAAGCAGAAAGCTCCTTTGGGCTCCTTGGCCTCTCAGCTCCCACCAGATCTCCTTGAGTCCATCCGCATGACCATCGCGAGAAGCGTCGATTATCTGTGCGATGTCTTTTCCTGCTCGCCAGAGCAATTGCGCCTTCCGAAATCCGAAGCGTCCATAGTGACCGACGAGCAGACATCGAGGCTGGGTGGCATGTATGGCGAAGAGCCTGTGGAAGACCACCCCGAATACGCTCTCATCCTATGGAATGATGAGAAGCATACCGTTGACGATGTCAAGAACCAGGTCGCTCGAGCGTGCAGCAAGTCCAAGACGTTTGGTTTGAGCAAGGCTATGGAAGTCAACGATATTGGCAGATCTGTCGTCCACTATTCGCGAGACCGCAATGAACTGCTGAGAATGGCTGGCGTGGTGGAACAGCTCAAGCTTACCGTGACCATTCGCTCTGCGAGAGACGTCTTCCGTGAGCAAATGTGCTCAACCATCATCGATTGGATCTCTGACATAGCTGGCTGTGCTGTGGGAAACGAGCCTTACCTGCTGAGAACTGTTGTCTGCGAAGAACTCCTGAAGCCCTGGCGGACAGGCAGCCAAGCATCAAACCAAGACATTGGCATCCACGGTATCGATGACCACGAAATCGAAGATAACGACGAGATTCGCAAGAGAAATCGATCCATGGTCAATCGCCTGCGACCGATCAACGCTCCCGCGATACAAGCCCTCGTGCAAGACATCGAGGACACTAACGATGACGACGACGAAAATGGCGACGATGATGACTACGATATGGACGAAGGCGACGATGGTATGGACATTGAGGTTGAAGACCTCCGCGCTGCTGTCACGATTGATGCAGCGGACATGGATATCGACATTCTTGATGATGTGGACGACGCGGATGCGACTGGATTTGCACCCCCGCCACCGCCTCGGGAGCAGAGACAGCGCATTCTAACGCCCCAGGAAAGCGATGGAGAAGAGCCCGAGCAATCAAGACCAAGTACGAACGCACCTTTCGACAATGTTCCCAAAACCCCCAAAGTACGGGCCCCAAAACGCATCCGACCCAGCAAGCACTGGCTTGAGAAGCCGGAGGGATTCAAGGCGCCGCGACCAGCTGAGCCCTGTGAGGATTTGTGGCAACGAGTCAGGCTAGACTTCTTGATTCTGTACGACCTCCGACTCTGGAAGACACTGAGGATCAGTCTCAGGCATCTTTATATCACCACAGTGGTGACAATACCTCATTTTAAACGCAAATTGGGATTGCGGTTCGCTGGACTCTACACTGCGCTGGCACAGCTGTACCTCATTGCAGATCGAGAACCAGATCATTCAATAATCAATCTGAGTGTGCAGATGCTCACCACTCCAACCATCACTCAAGAGGTCGTTGAGCGGGGCAACTTCTTGACCAATCTCATGGCAATCCTTTTCACCTTCTTGACAACTCGTCAAGTCGGGTTTCCTGAAGATGTCAACCCAAAGGCGACACTTGCTTTCGAGGCTGGTGCAGTCACCAACAGGCGCATGTTTCACTTCTTTTTGGACCTGAGATGGCTCTTTCAGTCGGAGCTTATCCATTTCCGCATGCGTTTCGAGCCTCGCTACCTCCTCCAGTTTCTGGATCTGGTTAAGCTGCACCAAGGCGTGTGCCCGAACGTAAGAGCGATCGGAGAACATGTCGAGTACGAGTCGGATACATGGATAAGCGCCAGCATGATTGTGAAGGAGATAAATAAGCTGTGCAAACAAGTGGCGGTCTCTTTTCAGCCTGATCCAAAGTTCGACGATCATAACGCAAACCTGCACCGCGCTATTCGCGTTGTAGGCCAAGTCACCATGATCAACGCTTTTGGCTACGAGCGGAAACGGTTTCAAGCCGCTGAGATCAGGGATGATCTGGCATGGCATATGGTTGGCCCATTCGATTTTGAAGGACGAACGTACAGTGTGCCAAGGCATGAGGTGCAGAAGGAGCCTATGAGTTTCCACCATCCACTTCATTACGTCTTGTCTTGGTTGCTGGAAAACGCCAAGAGCATGAGTCGCGACGAGATGCGTGCACTTCTGCACTTTTCGCCAGACGACCTCAAAGATCCTTTCAACGCCACAAGAGCTGCTCCCCCACCGTCAAACTTAACATCGGACGAGCTCCTCAGTGGGATCTTTGATCATCCATTGCGCGTCTGCGTCTGGCTCGCACAGATGAAGGCCGGTATGTGGGTACGTAATGGTATCACCCTACGCCACCAAGCACATACCTACCGCAGTGTGTCGCACCGAGACGTTGGATATCAGCGAGACATCCTGATGACCCAAGCTGGGCTGGTCTTGTGCGGTTCTGACGACGAACAGCCCGGAGAACGCTACTTGGCGCAGATGATCGATCGCTTCCAGATTGATCAGTGGGTCAAGGGCAGCTACGATCTGGTGCCTGGCTTTGAGGAACCGCAGCAAATGGATGTCTTTGAAGACTTCTTCCATTTGATGGTGATCGTTCTTTCTGAGCGTAGCAATCTTTTGACAGGCCTCGATGAAAGAGAGCAACAAGATCGCGTCCTCCAGCACGAGATCGCGCACGCTCTATGCTTCAAACCACTCTCATTCAGCGAGCTTGCAACCAGGGTGACCGAGAAGGTAGGCGAATCAGATGACTTCCAACGAGTGCTGGAGCATATGACAAATTACCGCGCACCGGAAGGTCTCTCAGACACTGGAACATTTGAGTTGAAGCCAGAGTACATCGAGCTTGTTGATCCATACTACGCTCATTACTCTCGTAATTATCGCGAGGAAGCCGAGCAGACTTACAAGAAACACATGGCGCGAAAGACGGGGAAAAAGGCCGAAGATGTCGTTTATGAGCCGCATCTGGAACCTATCAAGAATGGCCTGTTCAGCAGTCTAGCGGCATTCACTGCCACATCCCTTTTCGCTCAGGTGATTGGCGCGGCCTTGAATTTTGCGATCGATGTCAAGCACACTGCTCCCAAGGTTCAAGTCCCCAGGGTGGAAACATTCCTTCACATGGTGCTCCACCTCACGCTGCTTGCCGTACTGGAGGATAAGAATGGCGAAAGCGCAGATATTGGCTTCGTCTATCTTGCAACATCGAAAGCCTGCAACTTTCAAACAGTCACACCGTGGAGCACCCAGACCACGATCGTATCACTACTCCTCGCCGTATCCGGCATGGATGAGTACGCATCCGTCCACCCAGCCATTAAGCATGTGCTGCGTAAGATGCAGCTTCGACAGCCAGATAAGCTGATTGCAGCTGGGCCACTTGGTGCTATACTGGACAGGTCAGATACTGGTTCCCCAGCTTCACTCTCGGCTGAGGATAAGGAGCGCAAGAAAGCAGAGGCGAAGGCTCGGCAGGCTAAGGTCATGGCGCAGATGAAGCAGCAACAGAACAGCTTTCTTCAGAATCAAGGCCTCTCTGCTTTTGATGATGACGACTTTGAAGATCTCGGCGATGACATGAGCATCACCGATGGATCTGAGAATCTGCGCAAGACCTGGAATTTCCCAAAGGGAACGTGTATCCTGTGTCAAGAAGAGACTGATGACCAGAGACTCTACGGCACGTTCGCTTTCATGGGCGAGAGCAACATTCTGCGACAGACACCCGTTGATGACCCAGACTACGTTCAAGAAGTGATTGATACGCCCCATAGCCTCGATCGGGTCGCAGACGACATTCGCCCATTTGGTGTATCTGGCAAGAATAAAGTCGAGGTACAAAGAGTTGGCCCTGACGGCAAGGTTGTCACTGTCGAGCGACAAGGTCTTTCAAAGGGCTTCCCGCACCAGCGAGAGGGCGTCAAGGGGCCAGTTGCAACCAGCTGTGGGCACATCATGCATTACAACTGTTTTGAGCTCTATCTCACTGCAACTCAGCGTCGCCATGCGCAGCAGATCGCCCGGAACCACCCTGAACGTATAGAATACAAGGAATTCATCTGCCCGCTCTGCAAAGCTCTTGGCAATACATTCCTGCCTATCATCTGGAAAGGCAAAGATTGCGCGCAAGAACATGAACTCCACGCCTCGCGCAATTTCAACGACTGGCTGGCAGACGTTGGTAACAACTACCAGCCTGATCTCACCTTCATGCAGGATATCGTTGCACCCGCGGCCGTGCATCGCTACCAGCAAGTCCAGGAGTTCTATTCAAACCGAGCCATGGCGCACATGGCACAGATGTTTGCACCAAGCTTGATGCAGAACATGCAGGATTTAAACCTCGAGTCGCCCACGAGTCCTCAGCAGCCACATCGCTACCCACTTCGCGGGACTGCTACATTGTCTAGGCTGTTTGGCCTTCGAGGCTCCGGCGGCACGCCAACAAGTGCACCTACTGGTATCGACCAGACTCCCTTCGAAGCTCGCTCATACGATCTCTTCAATGCATATCATCGAATAGAGGAAAGCATCAAGGTAAATCAACTGTGCGGCACGAGTACCGACCTTGCTGTAGCTACACCCGTGGTAGCGATGTCGAGGTCTCTTGGCTTGACTATATCCTCATTTGAGATTCAACACCGAGGCACTGGGCCGAGCGATCCGTTTGCCACTTCATTGGTAAAAGATCTATCAGAACAGCACTTGACGCACTTGCGAATCTTGTCAGAAACCATCGAGTCTTACTTGGCTATCAACATCCTCAGATCTGGATCGAATGTGGTCGCAAGGGAGACGATTAGGAAGCGCGATCTCATCACGGCGCAGCTATTCGGCGTCGACTCTGATCCTGCTATGATGAAGCTCAAGGAGATTACTGGCAAGCTTTTGTTTCAGGATGACATCTTTCTCTTCCTCGCAGACTGGCTGTCCTTTATGGCACCGAACGTGGCGGAAGCTTCCTCTATTTTGCAGCTATGCTTCTGGGCTGAGGTCGTCAAGGCGATCTTCGCATTTCGATCCATCGTACAGTCGAAGATTCTCCCGCCGCAAGCATACGGTAATCTGAACAACGCTTTCGCCAGTGCTGTCCACGCGATGACCAACGATATTGCTCTGCCACTGGATGAGGCACAGATCGACCTGCTTCGTATTATTGTTGACAGATACGCTCTTGTCTTCCTCCGCAAGAGCGCAGTTTTGATGCTCATCCGCTACGGTCTTGACTTTGAATGCCCTTACGACATTGATTCAGAGTCTCCTGAGCTGGAGCGACTCACGAAATTGCTGCATATTCCATCGCTAGACGACATCTGCGAGATCTTCACGAGCAATGTCGCCGGCAGCACAAACTTGCGTTCCATCACTGAGCGCTGGCTCTCTCAAGCCAGTCTCGTCAGGCAACAGGAGCAAGACATCTTTTCCACTTCCTCGATCACTCTTTCTCACCCAGCGATATTTGAGCTCGTCGGTCTTCCGAAGAACTACGACACCCTCACGGAAGAAGCTATCAAACGCCGCTGTCCCACGACTGGCAAAGAAGTCACAGATCCAGTGGTGTGCCTACTATGCGGCGACATATTTTGCTCACAGGCCGTCTGCTGCATGAAAGACCGATCTAAGGGAGGCTGCTATCAACACATGGCTACACATGGCTTAAAGGTGGGTATCTTCATCAATATTCGGAAGTGTATGGTCTTGTTCTTGCATGGTCCTGGTGGGCAGGGAAGCTTTGCGCACGCCCCATACTTGGATCGGCACGGAGAGCCAGATCCTACTCTTAGACGTCACCACCAATTGTTCTTAAATCAGAAGCGATATGAGCGTTTGTTAAGGGAAGTCTGGTTGGGACATGGGATCCCCACCGTTATTAGTAGGAAGTTGGAGGGCGATATCAACCCCGGTGGGTGGGAAACTCTATAGTAAATGCAAGAACAGTTACGTCTAGGCGTTCTTTGTTTAGGTAGAGATTAGTCTATTTACTATCTTTCTACTTAATTTTTAGAAGATATCCTATAGATAAAATAGATAAAATAGATTTTAATTAGTCTTATTTATCTATTTTAGTAGAGTTTTAGTATTTTATTTTTACTTTTAGCTTTACTATAACTAAATCTTAAGTTTAATTAATTTTTTACTATTTAACTTATAATACTAACCTATATAGCACTATAATATATTTAGTATTATTAGTAATTTAGTAGACCTAGAACAGACTATTATTAGAATATATCTTTAATAATAGTAATTTAAAATTTTGTTTAAAGAATAGAAGTACAATTATATAAAGTATATATTTTTTATACGTAGACGCGGGCCTAGGGCGTATAGAGGAACTATATACGTCCTAGACGTTCTAGATAGTACTACTCGCTATAAGCATTCCGGATAGTACCTAATATAAGTATTTAGTTTCGGATTAGACCTAGACCTACTTTATATATTCCGGATAAGACTTTCTATAGGCGTTTCGGATTAGACTTACTATATACGTTGCGGTTTATAAATAATAATTATATAGTACTAAATATACTAAGCGTTTGAAATAAGGCTTATCCTACGCGTTCCGGATAGTACTACTCGCTATAGGCGTTTTATAGAATACTTATAGTAGGCGCTATATAGGGTACTCGCTATAGGTCGTTCGAATACTATTTACTATAGGCGTTTTAGATAGTATTTGCTATAGGCGTTTCGGATAGTACTACTCGCTATAGATATCTCGGATATCTGCCGCTATAAGGGTTTCAAATATTATATACTCGCTATAAGCGTTTTTAGTAGTATTTCCTATAAGCGTTTTAAATAAGACTTGCTATAAGTATTCTATATAGTACTTACTATAGGTATTTTAGATAGTACTACTTACTATAAGCGTCCTAAATCGCGCTTGCTACTAGCGTTCCGAATTAGACTTGCTATACGCGTTCTAGACAGTACCTACTATACGCGTTCCGGCGCGTTCTATATTAGACTTACTATAAGTGTTCTAGACTAGACTTACTATAGGCGTTATAGATAAGGGTTACTCTAAACATCTTTAATTAGTCTTACTATAGGCCTTATAGATAGTATTTGCTATAAGCGTTCCGAATATAACTCGCTATAAGTTTTTTAAATAGTACTTACTATACGCGTTTTAGACAGGACTTGCTCTACGCTTTTCGGATAGTACTTGCTATAGGCGTTTTAGATTAGAATTGCTATACGCTATCCGGCTAAGACTTACTATAGACGTTCTAGGTAGTACTTACTATAAGCGTTCCGGATAAGACCTACTATATTCTTTATGTATTTTTTAATCGATTTCTTAGATAATGCCTAATAAAGGCATTCAGAAATATCTCGCTAAAGACGTTCCGGATAGTACGCGTATCCTAGAAGTACTTAATATAGGCATCTAGAATATTACTGCTGCTATAAACGGTCTAGGTAGTAATTACTATAAGCGTTCGAAATTGTACTTACTATAGGTATTATAAATAGAACTTCCTTTGCGTATTACTAGTAGTACCTACTATACGTGTTTTAGATAAAAGTTATAAAACCTACTATATATGTTTTAGATTACTAGGACTGCTATACGCGTTCTAAATTATAGTTACTATATACATTCCGGATTAGAAGTACTATACGCGCTCCGGATTAGGATTACTATACCTGTTCCGGATTAGAACTATTATACGCTTTAAATAGTACTTATACTAAGCGTTTTAAATAGCACTACTCGCTAATGGCTATAGAGATTCTAGATAGTACTTACTATAGGCGTTCTAAATACTTACTATAGGCTTTATAGATACTACTCGTAATAGGCGTTATAGGGTGTAGATGCTACTCGCTGTAGGCATTATAATTACTACTCGCTAGAGGTATTCCGGATAGTACTTAGAATAAGAAGCGTTCTAGATAGTACTTACTGCTTAGTATAAGCGTTACGAATAGTATTTACTACTATAAGCTTGCTATAAGCGTTCCGAATAGTACTTACTGTAAACGTTATAAGACTTATAGGTAGTACTTACTATAGGCGTTTTCTAGTAGTAGTTACTATTAATGTCCTAGGTAGTGCTACTTATAGTAGGCGTTTCGGATAATACTTACTATAAGCTCTTAGGCTATAAATAGTGCTTTACTGTTTAAGATAGTACTACTTACTACTTACTATAAGCGTTTCGAATTTAAGTTGTTAGTAACTTGTTACTACTCGCTATAAGCGTTTTAAAATTTAAATAGTACCTAGTACTATAAGGCTTCCGGATAGTACTTACTATAAGCGATCTAGATACTATAAGCGTTTTAGATAGTACTAACTATTACAGATAAGTAACGCGTACGTAGATGCTAGATATAAGACTTAATAGGTTCGATAAAGAGCTAAGTCTATCTACGTAAATCCGAATAGCTTTGTGCGGTACGCTAAGCGCTAAGTAGTAGGTTAGAATCGCGTAGGCCGAATGCCTAAGGCTAGTACTTTCTACCTAGGGCGTAGCCCTTTATATTACCCTAGTCCTCCTCCCCTTCCTTTATAGAGATAGAACGCCCTTCGTAGTTTCTAGCGCTATTACCTTAGAGATTAGATCTATACTTATCTAAGCTTTCTAAAGTAACGCGCTCGTAGTTTCCTTCCGCGCGCCTAGGATTTCTACTACTTTCCAGTTAGGGTTACTATATACTAGGTTTTAGGGACTATTACTTTCTTCGCGACTTCTAGGCTGCGCTCTTTTACCTACTAACCGCCTTCTAAAACGCGCTGTAACTGCTTTTTTAAACGCTTTACTTATACTCGCGCCTTCCTTCGCTTTTACGATCTTTACTTTTATATCGCTTTCTAGGAATATTAATATTTTTTGTTTTTCCCTTCTTCTTCCTCTTTTTCTTTATATACCCCTACTACTACTACTACTACTACTACTACTACTACTACTACCACTACTACTACTACTACTACTACTACTACTACTACTACTACTACTACTACTACTACTACTACTACTACTACTACTACTACTACTACTACTACTACTACTACTACTACTACTACTACTACTACTACTACTACTGTTAGGGCTAAAGAGGCTATAGGTAATTAGCATATAACTAGGCTAAGTAAAGCTAGGGTCTCGATACCTTAGGTAGGACTTAGCGCTTAGCGATTAGGCTAACTTGCCTACCTTCCTCTCTCTCCTCCTAGATCCTTATCGAATACTACTATACCTACTACTACCCTATCTACCTACTAATATAACCCTTATTATATAGTACCCGATCTACCCTTTAAGGGTAGTAGCTAGATAGTCCTTATTTTAAGCTTTTAGCGGTATAGCTACGAAAACTATCGATTAACTATATTACGCCTAAAGAACGGGACCTATACGTACTATTCTACTAAAACAACCGTACTAATTATTAAGTAAGGCCTTCTATACGGCCTATTATACCAAGTTAATCGTACTAGGCCGATATCTACTAATTCCGCTATATCTGTACTATAAGAGGCTATAATACATCGTCGGTGCTACCCTTTATTATAATAGCCGGCTTATTACGAAACAATAACAACCGCGGCGCCGCTAGCAGCGCTAGCAATAACAATACCAGTAGTATAGAGCCTCTTAATAAGGAGCCTATAGTTCTAGGTAATAATCTAGAATTGCCTATTAACGACATTCTTAATAATATTGTTAATCGACGATATAGCTAACTAGCCTTTAGCCCCTAACTAGTAGGGAGACTTTAGGAAGCTACTTAAAATAGGCTCGCTGCCCTACGTTAAGAGTAGTAGCTAAAGGATAACCTCCTCGAGCTTCGCCGCCTTTAGGAAGCCCCGATAACTACTACTAAACTAATAGTAGAACCTTCCTTACTATCTATTTAGAAGAAGGATACTAAGCTTAAGGACTATACTATATTTAAAGGCTCTAGTCGCAAGCAGTATAGCAATTATATACGTAACTATAAGCTTAACTAGCGAAATGTACCTAAGGCTCTTCCAGAAGACTATTTATTAGTTGTCTACGCTATATAGTATATTAATAGCGACCTAAAACGTACCTAGGATAACTATTTTAACTCCCTTAATAATTAGACCGCTATCTAGTAGCAAACCTATAAAACTATTATACTAGACACCCTTAGAAACCCTATACTAAGGCAACAATATGCTTAGGACTAGTACCTTTAGACTAAGCAAAAGACTAATTAGTCGGCTCGCTTATTCGAGGCCTACTTAAAGACCCTCGAAGACGACCTTCTAGTTAAGACTAATTCTATATAGATCTCGGAAATACGCCTAAAGCTTAGATAGGAGCTTATCCTCGAATCAGACCGTCGCCGTATATTCGAACAAGCTAACCTAATACGTATTTAATTTATAGTTAAAGTAGAAATAGCCGAACGAGCTGTCTAGCTCTAGTAATAACTAGAATCGAGGATTCGACTAGCTAGTACTAACCGTAGCAACCGTAGCCGCGGAGGAAACTAAGGTTCCTACTAGAATAACAATACTAATAATAGGAACAGTAATAACGACCGTAGAAGAGGCCGTAGCCGGCGACTATATAGAGGAGGCTACGATAGGGGCCGTAGAAGGGGCTCGTATCCCTATAATACTAACCGCTCGACTAATAATAGTAGTAATAACGGTTATAGCAACCCCCTAAACGGATTGAAGTGCTTTAACTGCGATAGTACTAGCTATCTACTAGGCTAATGCGACAAACTAAGGGATTAGGCCCGGATTAACCGCGCTTTCGCTAAATATAGGAAGTACCTTTTAGCGGCTAACGCTACCCCTATAGGCTAACCTTCGAAAAAAGAGTAAGCGCCGCACTAACTATTAGCCTAGTACGGCGTAAAACTATCGACATTGTGCTAGCTATTATACGCACCTGTCTTATATAGGACACGTACGGAACTAACTATTAAACTAAGGCTATACTAGATCTAGGAAATTCAGTTAGTGCCCTTATTAACTATCGCCTAGCTAAGTAATTA